CGCCACCTCGACCTCCGGGGCGAGAAAAGCTGCTCCGGGTGCCCCTGGTCTGCTGGGGGCCGTCTCCAGCAGACCAGGGACACCGGGAGCAGCTTTTCTCACCCCGGAGATCGAGGTGGCGGGACCGCTGCGCTCTGGGCAGTCCCGCTGCCTGCGAGCTCTGGGGCGAGAAAGCCCCGTTCGTAAGTGCGGATCCAACATAAGTCGGATCCGTGTAACTCGGGGACTGCCTGTAGTAAACCAGCAGTAACTGTTGGGAGTGGGGCACAAACTCCCTGTGTGGAGAGATTATTCCATGTATGCCTACTGCAGATCTTCCTTCGAAGCATCAGTTGTGGCCAGCATTAAGGACAGGATACTAGACTATGTAGGCCACTGGTCTGGTCTGATCTGATCTGCCAACTTCCATGTAAAGGAGCTCAACATTTTTACTCTTAAATTTCTGTTTGATGTAGCATTACGAGGGTCAGGCATGACTATTTATGTTTTTAAAGACCATTGTACGCTAGGCCAAATTCTGCTGTTACATTGGTGTAAATGTTGAGTACCTTCATGGACTTTGTAGACTTCATTGTAATTTGACTTCATTACGTCATGATACACATTTAATATTACTCCAGATTTACATCAGTGCGATTGAGCTCAGAATTTGGTCCACAGCTGCTAATTAGGGGTTAATCTATGCTGAATACATTTAATATTTGGATGGGCTTGTGCCACAGGCATTGCAATGAATTGATGGAAAAGAAACTAACAGGAAAAATGTTAATTTCATAAATTTGCACACACCCACCCCTAATTTTGCTAACCTTAATCATTTAGGAATACCTGTTGGCTTTAGAGTCCCTACTCGCATGTATAAGGAGAGTGGATTTGGCCCAAGATATATGATATTTAAAAACTATGAATAGAAAAAAATTGCACCAGAGCAGTCAGCATTAATTCACTATGTGTACTAACGAGTGGTTTGTTTTGTTGCATGGCCTGCTTTGCGGTGGAACTCACATCAGAGAGTAAGTGTATTCTTTCCCTTTTCTTTTCCTAATCTGTTTAGTGTGACATTTTAATACAGCAAGTCCTGGTTGTTTGATGTCAGTGATTTCTACTGCCACCATGTTCATTGTGAACAGCCATTCATAAAGCTGTTTGTAATAAAATCATTAAAAAACACAGATCCTTTGTAGACTATCTCATGATCATTTCTGGTTAAAAACAAAATTTTCCCTTTTTTTTTTTTTGTAATTTGCACTTATTTGTAGGTTTTCAGTATGTTTTTGGAAACCCTGGTAGATTTCATCATCATCCATAAGGACGACTTGCAAGATTGGCTCTTTGTTCTTCTGACACAGTTGCTTAAGAAAATGGGAGCAGACTTGCTAGGATCTGTGCAGGCAAAAGTTCAGAAAGCTCTGGATGTAACAAGGTATGACATGCAAAAGTTCTAGTGTTTTAATCCGTCCATCTTTTAGGCTAGCTCTGTTTATGGAAGGATGTTTCAGAAACATTGCATCACCATGCTTGTTTCAAGAGACAGATACAATTCAGCCTGTGACAGTCTGAGCTATCCTCAGCGTGAAGTTAGTTTGGATGTGCACCAAAGTTACAAAGCAGAGTACAGTCCCCAATATCAGATTAAAATCATTGGCTAAATTTTCTTCTGAACCACATTAATTTTATATTGTTTAACTCCATTGATTTCAGTGGCATTATTTCTGATTTACGTTAATGCAAATGACGACAGAATCATTTCTCATATAGAAACCATTTTTTCCCATGTTTATACAGCCCCTAGCACAAGGAAGACCATGACAAGAGCTCCTAGGTGCTACGGCAATAAAATATTGGAAGTAAATACATTTACCTTTTTGTTAGCACTGTAGATTATTAAAAGTAGAAGAACATTGAAATCTAATGGCTTTGTTTCTTTCTGGTCATGTTTTAATGTTTGACTGCAGTTTTAATTTCTCTCAATTTGGATGATGAATGATGCATTAAAATACTAAGTGATGAGCATCTTAAACTTGTCCATGAACACCCAGCAAGTCAATTTAAATGTATTAAAATATGTTTGTTCTAATAACAGTAATGGAATTCCTTTTCTCTCTGAACAGGGATTCTTTTCCATTTGATCAACAGTTTAACATTTTGATGAGATTTATTGTAGATCAGACCCAAACACCAAACCTCAAGGTAAGCAATGAAAACCTTTATATTGCAACATAAACATTGTCCATTTAGTTCTCAGGATGCATTTTAAAGCACTTAATCATATGTGAGTACCTAATATTCACAGGAAAAATGCCTATGTGCAGAAAAGCCAGATTCTAAAAGGTATTTAGGCACCTAAAGAAGTGGATGTCTAATTCTCACTGAAATCTAAGCATTTTTTAAAATCTCACTAGGAAATCAATGGTACTTCCACTTTCTAAAAGCAGAGGTCATTTTGGAAAATGGGATCTATTCTTGTTAGTCACTTAAGTGCTTTAAAAATGTATACTGGGATACTCTTAGTCTTTTAAGGTCCCAAAACTGAAGGAAGATGGTAGTTTCTAGGAGTGTTCATAAGAATGCAGGTTTCTTCTCTTTCTTGGCAGATTGATCTTGTTAATTCCAGCCATAATATAAATGGGTTTCTTTGGGACAAAGGTAACTATGGTCTGAAGGAGAGAAATATTAAACTGAGATGTGTTTTGTTACTTGAGTTACTACATTCCACCCAAGGAATATATTTGGGCTATATAGTGTGTGTAGCATATTCTGTGCAAGATGCTACTTGAAGGGTGAATGAACTTCAAAAACTCCAGAAATCATGTATTATGTTTTCCAGATGTATGCAGTGGTGCGTAAGGTGTCTTATGATTATGAGAGAGGGAGAATGCCATTGCCATAAGTAGGAAGTCAGGACCACTGAAAACCTGACCTTGTGCATTTAAAAAAAATTAATTCAGGAGTCCAAAGTTTTTGCCCAGATGGACAATGCATGAGATTGCTGGGCTGTAAACTCTCAAGCAGTCAGAATAGGTGAAAGGTTCCTTTTTGCGTCTGAAATATGACACACAGATATGTTTTCTGGAATAGATGAAGAGATAATTTTTACTTTTTACCAGCTCATACCCTTATGTAAAAATCCTATCGATTTTGTGAGAAAAGTACCATTGACTTGTTTTGTTAGTCTTTAAGGTGCTGCTGGACTATTTGTTGTTTTTTAAGTTTTTTCCAGTTACATACTCACTCGGCTACCCCTCTGAAGCTTTTCCTATTGGTGTCTTGCACGACCCTATAGAATTTAATTGTATTCTATTTACAGAAGTCCATAGTAAATTCTATAGGTTTTTAGTTTTTTTTCTGTAAAACCCTCTAGTTTAGTTCCTATTAATTTCTACAGGAGTTTTCCCTAAATCTGTGTATCTCTTTCTAACAGAATTTCAGAAGGGTACAGTGATTCCATTAATCAGAAACATGCAGGATGCTGGTCTAGCCCTGTCCAGATTGCATTTTTTTTCCATTTGGCTCATTATAGAGCGGAGATAAACTTGCAAGTTTTATGTTTGGCACAGGATAGTTATGAGAGAGCATCAGCTCACCAACCAACGATGACAAATGTCCTTTTACATTTCTTAGGTAAAAGTTGCAATCCTGAAGTACATTGAGTCCCTGGCAAGACAGATGGACCCAACGGACTTTGTTAACTCCAGTGAGACCAGACTTGCTGTATCTAGAATCATAACTTGGACAACAGAACCAAAGAGCTCAGATGTAAGAAAGGTAGGTTAGAATTAAGTTATTGCAAGTGAAACTGTTACCCTGCCTAAAGACAATTAAACTAGGTCTGAAGACAATTAAAAATTGCATGGTTAGGTGACTTATAGGGTTTTTTGTTTGCTTTTGCTTCCCTTTCATTTATTTCTTAGTATCAGTGAAAATATTTTCAGAGTGTTATATTAGCTTTGTGTCTATAATGTAACCTTTGAGATTAAAACAAAAAAGCTTTGACCGTTCGGGTTTATTCAATACATAAGTTTAAAGAAATAAAACAAAGTATTTCTTCATTTAATACACAGCCAATCTGTGGAACTTATTGCCGTCAGACAGTGTAAAGACCAAAAATGAACAGGTTTCAAAAAAAGAATTAGATAATTTCATGGAAGATAGGTCCATCAGTGGCTATTATCCAAGCTGGTCAGGGATGTCTCCCCATGTTCTGGGTAGGCCTATACCTTCATCTTTTGGAAGCTGGGGCTGGACTGCAAGGGATTGATCACTCAAATTACACTGTTCTTTTCATTGCCTCTGAAGGTTCTGGTACTCTGTACTGTCAGAGACAGGATATTAGGCTAGATAGACCATTGCTCTAACTCAGTATGATCATTCTAAAGTGTTCTGAAATATCTTTGTCTGTATTTTACTCCCGTTGATTGCCAGGCATGTAAATGATTGAATTATTCACTATTACAATGCAAAGAGAAAATAGACTGACTGAGTGTATATTTTGGTAAGCAGTTGGTGACGCATAGGAAGTAATTTTTTGTCATTACAGATCAAGTGTTCTGTACATGATGTGCTCCAAATGAAATCCGATATAATCTCGGAAATATAATATTTAAAAATATCACTATGGTGCTGAGTACCTTCGACTCCTATTAAAGTTGGTTAGTTTGTCTTAGCTAGAAAAAGCTGTCAAGTTTAGATCATGTCTAGTTAACAGGAGCTAAGTCGATGCTTTTCCATGATAACAGACCTCCTAACATTGAGCCTAACGGTGTCACCCTGACTCTGCACTAGGAAAAAGGTCAAGTTTAGGTTGGGTTTAGCTAACAAACCCAATGGAAGTTTGAGGGTGTTTAGCAATTCATCACAATGGACCCTTAATGTAAGATGTAGGTTCCTAGAAAAAGGTGCAGATGAACAAAAGATACCAGAAATGTAATCTATGTATTAAAATAAGTACTGTTAATTATATAATTATGCCTGAGCCATTTTGCTAGTGCTCAGCTAGGGAGAATGGTTTAATTTAAATTACTAATCAGATTAGCATTTTAACTTTCTCATGTTAGTTTATTAGACTTCATTTTAAATAAAGTAAAATACTAATTTAGGTCCAACACAAAAGGTTTCAATGCTTTCTTTAGGTTTCAAAGGTTTCAAAAATTAGTTGGGGACTACAGATGTGAGAAGCAAAAACACTCCTCCAAACCCCCCCAATCTTCACTGATGTGGCCCCCAACTGAGACACCTCATTCCTCTGGTGCTCCAGGGGGAGGAAGAGGGACAGGGATGACTTCTGGGGTGCCAGGGTTAGTGGATTTTGTTGACATCCTTAGGCTCTGGGGTGGGAAATGAGGGGTTCAGTGTGCAGAACAGGGCTGCCAGCAAGTGGGATAAGGATGGGGGTGCAGAATCTGGGTGGGGGGTGGAGTGCAGGAGGGGGTGAGGTCTGGGTGGGAGGTAGGGTGCAGAAGTAGGCTTTGAGTAGGGTGTCTGGCCAGGAGGGAGGGTACAGGAGCAAGGAAGAGTATAGGAGTGCTGGGGGCTTGCGGTCTTGGTGGGGGGAGGGTGGGTAAGAAAGAAGGATTGGGGTGTGGTCATCTGGGCATGAGGGGGGTGCTTACCTGACTTTGCGCTCCTGTTGCTCCCAAGCATGGCCGGCCCATGGGAGCAGCGGGGAAAGCCTCCAGACAGTGTGTCACTGCGCTGCTATTCCCCCATCTCCAGCTTCCACTCGGAAGGTGGGAGGAGAGTGGGGAGGGGGGAGGTGAAGAAAACCCCGACTTTCCCACTACGCTGGGAAACAGCAGCACACAGAGCTGCTTGCTCTGCATCTCACCAGGAGCTGGGTCTGGCGGGGAAGGGCGGGGGTTTCTTTCACCTCC